CCCCCCCCCCCACCCTCACCCTGGGTAGAGAAGTTACTATGCCTGGAGTTCACTAAGCATGCTCTTCTCTTGATTTTGGGGTCTTCTTGGAACCATCAGCTTTGGGCTAAACCCAGGCCCACCTGCAGTGTAAATGCTTCCTTGACTTGTTTTTATAACTCTCTGCACTATTCTACCTGTGGAAACTTAAGCCGTCTAACTCTAACAACTATGCCCAAAAGAGGGAAGACAAATGGAAATATCAAGAGGATGGCCAGAGCTACCTTGTTTAGGAATGAGGTTGTACCTTTATCTGTTCTATCCATTGCTTCTCATTATTACCATTTTGAATACTTCTTGCTCCCACATCAAAATATTTCCTGAAAGTTTCACAGTATTATAAAATGTTAGAGTTGGCAAGGGCTAATTTGAAAACCTTCAAGACTCTATATCCAAGACCTTCTCAATGGTGCAATAATTAAGATATAAAATAATTAAGATACAATCAAAAGTGAAGTGTACATACCCATTACTTGGAATGATAGGTTCTGACTATTCTTCTAATGGTGCTGACCTCTTGCATTTTTGTTTTCTCTATAGGTCTACAGAACCTGGTCCTGACCTATATTCAGGCCATCACCAGTGGAGATATGCCCTGTATGGAGAATGCAGTCCTGGCACTGGCTCAAATAGAGAACTCAGCTGCAGTTCAAAGGGCCCTTATACACTATGAAGAGATGATGAAAAAAAGGGTCCAGTTCCCCACAGAAACCCTTCGGGAGTTGTTAGACATACATGCCACATGTGAGAAGGAAGCCATTGAAGTCTTCATCAAGGATTCTTTCAAGGATGTGGACCAGAAATTCCAGAAGGAATTGGCGGTACTTTGGCTACTCTCGTATTCACGAGAGAGCAGGGTCTACACGAAGGAGGGCAAGCCTGGAAAGGAAAATGAGGCTCTTTCTGAGAACAATAGCTTACTAGAGTCTAAGGTCATGGTCTTCAGTCAGTCATGTGACCCTGAAAGTCCATTTACAACCTCCTTTAAGTAAAAGAGTCACATGGTAACTGTTTTTTAAAAGGTTCTGGTTGATGATTTTGGTATGATATTATAATATGGTATGATATTACAATACATTTATTATTAATTTTGAGAAACTGAAGATTACACATGAAAGAGTTTAAAGAATTGAGGATTATAGTCTAAGGCAAAGATAAGGGAAAGGGGTTTTAGGAAATTACATATTGTCCAGACTGATTCACCCTATTCCTATAATCTTTAAGATCTCTTAGGACAGATATACCAGAGGATCTTATAAAAGTAAGTCTAGAACCAGGGCATGAGCCTACTTGGATGCACAGGTGGGGGGAGGGGCAAGATTTTTTTTTTAAGAATTCATGTCTAGAAATTCTGGTAAGTTTTTGATATATTCTCCCAACTGTACCTTTTACATGTCATTTCCTTTACATTGCTTAAAGAGCCAGCTAGAAGCCAAGCGTGATGCCTTTTGTGACCAGAACCTGGATGAGTCGGCAAAACGATGCAGAGTTTTGCTTCAGGATATTTTCAGTCCTCTGGAGGAGGCAGTGAAGAATGGGGCCTTCTCTAAACCAGGGGGATACGGTCTCTTTCTGCAGAATACCAAGGAGCTGAAACAGAAATACTACCAGCAGCCCAGGAAGGGGATACAGGTGAACTCTCCCATTAGCAATACATTCAGGCTAGAGGTGGAGAGGGAACTTTAGGAGTCATTTCCAAGCCCTGAGGTGAAGGACAGTAATGCCAAATGGAATGGCCCACTGTCAAGGCCAGTGTCCTCTGAACAGCCGACCTTCGACTTCTTACTCTTGACAATGACAACAGCTTTCTTTCCTTTTGCTAATTCACTGTCTTCCCGTTGCCAGGCAGAGGAGACTCTGCAAGAATACCTGAGATCCAAGGAAGATATAGCTGATGCAATACTGCATGCTGACCAGTCACTCTCAGCAAAGGAAAAGGATATTGAAGGTGAGAAGTCCACGAACGTGTTT